CATAATGACCAGGATATCGCGTCCAAGCGCGACTCGACGCTTCTTGCCGCCATCGACCAGTCATGGGTTCAGCTGTTTGGTGCGATGGAGACGGTCATTGTGGACAGCGAGGGCGGGATGGCCGGTACATTTTCTGAAGGAAATGCAGAGGCGAGGAGTGCAGGTAGATTTTCGAGCGCCTCGTCAGAACGCTCGCTTCGTCGAGCGACGCGGTGCCGTACTGCGACGCGCGCAACTCACCGCGGAAGAGCAGCTAGACCGCGAAGGTAGCGCGGCGAACTTCGACTCGATGCTGGCGCGCGCCATCTTTGCCGACGACAGCCTCATCCACGTGGGCGGCGTCGCGCCATGCAACGTCGCCTTCGGATGGCAGCCATCCGCGCTGCCGCCGCAGACGCAGAGGGCGAGGTGCCCAGTGCCTGTGGCACTGGTGCGCGGCCTGCTGGTGGAGATTTGCAGCCCAGCCGACCGCAGCGGCGCATCCGAGAGATCGCTCTGCAACGCATGATTGCGATCTCACGCGCCACCCGTGCCCCCAATGGACCCGTGTTACCGAATCTGGGGAGGGCAGCTTCAACCTTGGCGACTCAGTGGAAATCCACGGGCCCCCGAGCTCGAAGGGCGCGTTGGGCTGGTCTGGCCTTGGGGCGGTCATTCCTGTAGACCCGGCTCGAGGCAAGGTAGCGGCCGAGTGCCGCCGATCCGAGATGGCATGCAGATTGCACGACGTTCCGGCCTTCATCGGTGCCGCCCTTGACGACGTGGGCACTGGCATGGCGCGAGCAGGCATGGCCTGGGGCCGCGCGGGGGACTACCTGGAGCACGTCGCGCCAGACTCCGGGGCCAGGACCTTCGGCCACTGGGAGGACGCGCGGGGAGTGCAGGTCACCGCGCAGACCCGGCAGCGCCCCGACATCTTCGAAGCCTTGCGCCATCTGGCCCGCAGGTGCTTTCAGCGGCCAGACGTTCGCGCCGTGCGTCTTGCGGGGCTGCGCTTGCCGCGTGGCTATCTGGCGGTTCCCTCGGAACCCGGTTGACGTCCGGCAGATGTTTTTGAACGGCGTAAAGTTCGACGCCAACCAGCTTATTTGCGAGTGCTGGAAGGAAGCTCGCATCATTCAGTTTATCTTGGGTGACGAGCCGCTGCTGGTCGCAGACGCCAGGCGGGGCCTGGGCGGATCGGTCGATCACTGCATTGTCGTCGTCCCCGAGGGCGCCGCCAGCATTGCCGAGGGTGGTTCACCATCGGCCCTGTCGGCCATGCCCTAGAGACCGACGGCGGTCTCTCCGGCCACGTCCAACTGGCGATGCTGGCAGCCTGCCTGGCGCGAATAACTTGGCCCAGGGGCCCGACGCCTCGGGGCGCAGCGCCAGCGCAAGAGCATCCGCGCGCAGTGCCGCTACTAGCTGCGCGGGTCCTCCTCGGACGACAACGCCGCGCTAGAGGAGGAGGACGAAGTGGAAGGTGTGTGGAGTTCTATCTTGATCCAGGGGTGCGCGAAGAAATCTTGAGCTTCGACGAGGGGGCGTCTGGCGACTGTGTCGCTGGCGCTCCCTCGGCAGCCGTTCTTAACGTCTGTGCCGCTTTAAGACCGCGGTCGTTATGCGCGACGCCGACCGTCTGCCCATCGTGGCTGTCAAAGGAGGTCGCAGCGGCCATCCTCGAAGAGCCCGCCTCCTGGGTCAAGTACAAATCTTTCGAGAAGCGACCGCGCAAAGGCGCCCGGAACGCAATGGGCTCCAGACGTGTCTTCAGGTGGAAGCACGGGAAGGAGCCATATAGTCTGGATCAGCCGGCGCCGCGCGGCGCTGAGGGGCTTCCACGACATTGGCGCCGGAGACCTGGAGACGTTCGCTTGGGCACCTTGTCCTCGTCGGCGGCGCGTTGCCCAGGCCGAGTGTGCGTCGCTGTGGGCGTCGAGCAGGCGTTCCTGCAGGGCGTGGCCTGCGCCGCAATGCAGGAACAAGGCGAAGCGCCCCTCGAGGTGAGCTTCGCCCATCCGCCCGGCAGTGCCGCCGTCCTCTGGCAGGTGCCCAGCTACGAGAGCTGCGACGAGCAGACTGCGTGCTTGCGTTGCATCGAGCTGGGCGAGGGCTGCGAGGACCCGCCCCGGGCCTTCTCCATGGCGCTCGCCCAGGTCACGCGCTTGCCAGAATGCAGCGCCAAACCCGCCGGGTGGGGCCCGGATCCTGAGGTCAAGCACGCGGCGTCGGGTGCGCGTGGCGCTGGCGTCTCGGAGCTGGTGCTCATGTTGTCCGCGCGCGTCGACGATCTGAACGATCTGGAGATCGTCTGGCGCGCGGAGGACGTCGACCAGCTTATCAGCCATCTCGAGAACGTCTTCGGCAACATGAAATGTGATGATGACGTTTTCACCAATTTCGGAGTGCGCCAGCGCCGCAGTTCCGATGGCACCGTGACGCTAGACCAGGAGGAGTACATCGACGCTCTGATACTGATCAGACACGTCGACCTGGCCAAGGTCGAGGCTGACGAGCTGCCCGGAGGTCGGCGACGAGCTGCCCGGAGGTCAGCTTCCAGACCTTCTTGTTTCCCTCTTGGGAGCAGCGGCCTATGCTCGTCTGGTAGCGCGTTGCCGCGCGCATCGTCGCTCTGCGACGAGCCGAGAAAAAGTTGCTCATCCGGCGCGTGATGCAGCTGAATCCGCTTGTTCTGGCCATGCGGAAGATAAAGGAACGCGTCGCATTTCCAGCCGCTGAGTGCGACGGGCGACTCAGCGCACGCGCCGACTGGTGGTTCGAGAGGGGGGGACAGGATGCGGCGCCAAAGGAGCCGTATGCACGCGCGTCGGCAAGTGCCGCCGCGCTGGCAAACGGGCGTGCCACATGCTGGACGCAGTGCGCCGATCGCACAAGCTGGCGCGCTGATCGTCGTTCGGCTCTGAGCTGATCGCAGCATGCGGCGCAGCCGACGCACTGCAGGCGCACCTCGCGCTGCGCGGGATGGTGCGTGCCCCCGCATCTGCTGTGGAGATCAGGAGGCTGGGGGGGGGGGAAAGGGGGGCGCGCGATCCCTGCTGATCTCGCCATCGGCGGCGCGTCCGTCTTCGGCGCCCTGCTCGTTTCGTGCTCGCGATGTGCGGGCCGACCCCATGCCGGCAGGGGCCAGGGGCTCATCCTCAGACATAAGCTATGAAAGTGATGCGGTCAAGTTCAGCCGCGAGAAGAGGAATAAGGCCGTCCCGAACTCCCCCCGCAGTTCCATCACTCAGCAGTGAAGAGTGAAGAGGCGACCCGAGTGACTGTGTCGCACGGTCGACCACCGTAGCTCTGGTGCTTGATCAGCTTAGCTCCGCTCGCCAGGATACATGTCGACCGTCCCAGCAGCCGCGAGATCGTCAAGATCTGCGGGCATTGACGGCGCTCGCTACGTGGAAGTTGAGCAATCCAGTGAGTGCTGCTCCAGCTGACTATGTCAGCTGAGCAGCAACGCGCATTTGCCTGTGCTCCACCAGTCGTCTCTCGCGCGCTGTTTGCATGCATTTTTGTACGGATGCGGTCAGAGCACCTCAGCAGCAGTCTGGCACCAACGAACGCACGGCGGACCAGGTTGAGCACCATATTCGAGCGGTGCCTCATCTGCCCTGTGCCTTCCTGTCCTGTTTGTCTCACCCCATATTTGCATGCGCCTTCCGCTGCCATTTACAGATTGGTCAAGCATGGCGCCCGCTGTTCATCGCTGTTCGACATTTCCACTTCTTTTGTAACGCACATGCCGTTGGTTAAGCATCCACTCGTACATCAATTTCTCTAGTTTCCTCTTCGCCCTCCTTCTCTGGGATTGCGGCCTCGCAGGTTTTCGAGAGCAGGTCCTCCTCCACCTCCACCAACGAGACCGGGCGCCTCGAACAAAGCCAGGGCGGCAGGCTTGTTGTTCTTCTTGCATTTGGGGGGGCCAGGTTGGAGTTTTTGGACATTTTGCAAGCGACCCGAGATGAAGGATTGGTCCTGGGCAAGCGTCGAGAAGTCTTGGGGGCCCACGCATCGAACGCATCTGAACGCCAGATCTTCGGCATTGTGTCGAAGAAGTCTTTGTGTGCGGTGGTGCGCGGTGTGGGGAGGGTAGCAGCGCGAGGGTCTCGCTACCGTCGCCATGTCTTTTTTTGAGCCGTGCTTCCATTCGTGAAAATAATCCGCGCGGTTGCTCCATCCCCCGAAAATTCGAACCAGGAAGGGGGAGCTCCCGTGGAGGTATCCGAAGGTTGCAAAGAATCCCCCGGGTTCGGCGGATACCGCAAGGCCCGTTTGAGGGGCAAACCACATTCAAATTCCTGGATCTTCGAGCGTCGTGGGCAAAAGTTTGGCATGTGTGGAGCTGCCAAGGAACGGCCTCGTCGCCATGTCGCGCACCCGTTGCATATGTGTCCGTGGAGCCTGGGGGAGTGGCCTTCCTTATCGGCCTGGGCCGCATTTCCTTTCGTCGTCTGCATTTTGGTGCACCCTGGCAGTAGCGTCGCAACCCCCTCTTGTTGGTGTCGTCGTCGTCGTCGTCGTCGTCGTCGTCGTCGTCGCGGTCTGGGGGCGACGCGGGCCACAGCAGTGCGTTGGCTTGTGGCGCCGCCGCCCTGTTGGAGTCCTCCGCCGTGGTCTCGGCAGCTCTCCCGCCCAGTCCTCCGCGGGCGGGCCTCGGCTGCGCGAGGGCTTCCCGGCAGCCTTGGCTGATTTGTTTCTGCACTTGCGACGAAATCGCCTGAAGGTCCGCCTGCTTTGGCAGTATCGACCCCAACGCCACGGAAGTGGTGCACAGGAATCCCTCCCGGGCTTGGACGGGACGAAGACGGAATGAGGAACGGAGGCGCAGGAGAGTGTCTGGGCAAGGGAAAGCGGCAAGCGGTGTGGCGCTTGAAAATTGAAAACAGCCTTGGCAGAAGGATCCCTGATAATGGCCCGAGGTTATCCCCGAGCGGTGCTCACAGGGGTCGCCCGATCCCGTCGCGTGGTGGGCGCTGGGTGCAGCCCGCCGCGGGCGCCCGCTCGAGGATGGCACCTCGTCGCCGCAAGGCCGGGCGCCGCCCCCGGCTTCGACGCCGCGTCCACGGGCGAGATGCTCTGCCGCGAGGCGTTCGCCAAGGCCCTCAGCCCGCGGGTCTCCTGCGCGAGCGGGCTGGAGGCTCGGGGCCGCCGGACGCTCTCTCGAGGGCCCGGGCCCCCGCCGCCAGAACATGTGCATGCCTCACAGACCACCCGTCGGACGGCACGGAGGTTTGGGGTGGTGATGCGAGAAGCTTTCGGTTTTCGGCGGCCTCGTTTCGGACGGCTTCATCATGCCTCGAGCCTCTAACGTTTTCATAATCCGGCTCATGGTGTAAACTGCATGTGTGCTTGACCGTGCATAGTTTTGATACATGTGTTAGCCAACGTGGCTGCCAACCAGTAAGCATTGCATTATAGATGTGTAAGTTCTGTGGTGCAAGTTTTGTCAGATAAGCTGTGTGGTGAAGTTTACGCGGTGCAAGCTAGTGGCGGCAACCCACGGCAACATGGCGAAACCTCGCCCGACACACTCAGCGCACGAGGTGGCAACGAGGCAGCACCGCGCGGCAACGTGGCAAAATCTCGCTGGACTCTACCTGCGCACCAGGCGGCAACGCGGCGGCAACGGGCGGTAACGTGGAGAAACCTCGCTTTACCCACCCAGCGCATGAGGCGGCAACGAGGTGGCAACGGGCGGCAACGTAGCGAAACCTCGCCAGACCAATCCAGCGCACGAAGCGGCAACGAGGCAGCAACAGGCGGCAACCGACGCCAACTTTGCGAAACCTTGCCAGACCCACCCAGCGCACGAGGCGGCAACGAGGCGGCAACGAGGCGGCAACGGGCGGCAACGTGGCCAAACCTCGCCAGACCAACCCAGCGCACGAGGCGGCAACGAGGCGGCAACGGGCGGCAACCGGCGCCAACGTTGCGAATCCTCGGCAGATCCACCCAGCGCACGAGTCGGCAACGAGTCGGCAACGAGGCGGCAACGGGTGGCAACGTGGCGAAACCTCGCCTGACCCACCCAGCGAATGAGGCGGCAATGCGGCGGCAACAGACGGGAGCGTGGCGAAACCTCGCCAGACCCACCCAGCGCACGAGGCGGCAACGAGGCGGCAACGGGCGGCAACGTGGCGAAACCTTGCCAGACCCACCCAGCGCACGAGGCGGCAACGAGGCGGCAACGGGCGGCAACGTGGCCAAACCTCGCCAGACCAACCCAGCGCACGAAGCGGCAACGAGGCAGCAACGGGCGGCAACCGGCGCCAATGTTGCGAAACCTTGCCAGATCCACCCGGCGCACGAGTCGGCAACGAGTCGGCAACGAGGCGGCAACGGGCGGCAACGTGGCGAAACCTCGCCTGACCCACCCAGCGCACGAGGCGGCAATGCGGCGGCAACAGACGGCAGCGTGGCGAAACCTCGCCAGACCCACCCAGCGCATGAGGCGGCAACGAGGCGGCAACGGGCGGCAACGTGGCGAAACCTCGCTGGACCCACCCAGCGCACGAGGCGGCAACGAGGCGGCAACGCGCGGCAACGTGGCGAAACCTCGCTGAACCCAACCATCTCACTAGGCGGCAACGAGGCGGCAACGGTCTGCGACGTGGCGAAACCTCGCTTGACCCTCCCAACGCACGAGGCGGCAACGCGGCGGCAACGGGCGGCAACGTGGCGAATTTTCGGCGACCCACACAGCGCACGAGGTGGCAATGCGGCGGCAACAGGCGGCAACGTGGCCAAACCTCGCTGGATATCCGGCGCACGAGGCGGCAATGAGGTAGCAATGGGCGGCAACGGGCGGCCACGTGTCGAATTTTCGCCGACCCACCCAGAGCACGAGGCGGCAACGCGGCGGCAACGAGGCGGCAACGGGTGGCAACGTGGCGAAACCTTGCCGGACCCAACCATCTCACGAGGCGGCAACGAGGGAGCAATGGGCGGCAACTTGGCCAAACCTCGCTGGATCCACCCGGCGCACGAGGCGGCAACGAGCTAGCAATGGGTGGCAACCGGAGCCAACGTGGCGAATTTTCGCCGACCCACCCAGCGCACGAGGCGGCAACGAGGCGACAACGAGGCGGCAACGGGCGGCAACGTGGCGAAACCTCGCTTGACCCTCCCAGCGCACGAGGCGGCATCGCGTCGGCAACGAAATTCTGTAGGGAGACAAGTAGGAACGTCTAACTGCACGCGTTTTGGATAATGATATATGCATGGATGTAGCTATATACCCAATCAGTGTTTGCACTTGGGGATTATTATCATTATCATTGGTATTCTTACTCTTAAGTGAACTGGGATCCATCGTCGGGTCCGCCTCCTTGTGGTCGCAGTCACCGCCCCGTCGCCGCCTCGTCGCCGCCCGTCGTCTAGGCTCCGCTGTCGGGTTTGCCGACTTGTGGTCGCCGTCGCCGCCCCGTCGCCGCCCCGTCGCCGCCTAGTCGTTTCCCGTCGTCTGGGCTCCGTTGTCGGGTCCGCCGCCTTGTGGTCGCCGTCGCCGCCCCGTCACCGCCCCGTCGCCGCATTGTTTTGCATTGCGTTGCATTTCTTTGCACTTATTTGCGTTGCTTTGTTGTGCGTTGCTTTGCTTTGTGCTGCAATGCTTTGCGTTGCTTTGCATTGCTTTGCATTGCTTTGCATTGTTCTGTATTGCTTTGCATTGTGGTGCCTTGCTTCGCATTGCTTTCCATTGCATTGCTTGCGCAGAAGAGGTTGTACCGCATGTATTGCGCAACCAATGCGTATTGCACCATCTAGATTGCACAACATACATTGCTCCACAGTGATTGCTCCACATAGATTACACCACGTATACTTTTTGCACGACATATTTGCACAGCGTAGAGTGTTGCACCACGTAGATTGCAAGGCATATATTCTCCTTTCTAGAAACAAAATAGGATCTTCCCCCCCCCCGGCGTTATCGCCCTCCCCCTTCGGGTATGTAAATCATATATGATTATGACCACATGTCCATCCTAAATATGAATTTACACTATCCCCGGGGTGCCGGTATCCCCCCCCCTGAGGGTCCCTTGCAAAAAAAAACACTATGCGGTGACATTTTTTGTTCTAACATAGCACTTTTTCACGAATCCCTTGCAACAAATGAAATGGGGCGAAGTGCGCACGCGCGCGTCGTCGCGCGCGCATGCCGAAATCCTGCAAAAACCTTCGGTGCCGGAAGGATTTCGCAATCGAGTCTCCAAAAAACATACAACAACACAGAGTTTCGCAACACTGATTTGCTAAAAAAGCTTCCCCGCGAGCTCTTGCGAAATCTTAAGAAAACCCTAGGTGTTTCAAGATTTTCACAACATGCTACCAAACGGGCTTCGCGCGCGCGCATGTCGAAATCTGTCGAATGCCCTTGCGCGTGTGCCGTCGCGAGAATCCTCTGCAAAAAATGGGACGAAGTGCAGACGCGCGCGTCGTCGCGCGTGTATGCCGAAATCCTTCAAAACCCATCGGTTTCGGAAGGATTTCAAAATCGTGTGTCCAAAAAGCCCACAACAACCCAATGTTTCGCAACACGGATTTTCAACAAAAGCGTGCGCGCGCGCTCTTGCGTCGTCGTCGTCGTCGTCGTCGTCGTCGTCGTCGTCGTCGCCGTCCTCCCTCCTCCCGCGTCGTCGTCGTCGTCGTCGTCGTCGCCTACGTCGTCCTCTGTCTTTCCTCGTGTTCGTCGTCATCGTCCTTTTTGGCGTCGTGGTCGTTTCCGTCGTCGTTGTCGCCGTGGTCGTCCTTCCTCCTCCTCCCTCGTCGTCGTCGTCGTCCGTCGTCGGCGTCTCGTCGTCGTCCCTCCTATTTCGTCGCCGTCGTCGTCGTCGTCGTCGTCGTTGTCGTCGTCGTCGTCGTCGTCTTCCCTCCTCCCTCGTCGTTGTCGTCGTCGGCGTCGCCGTCCTTCCTTCTTCTTCGTCGTTCGCGTTGTCGCCGTCCTCCCTCCTCCCTCGTCGTTGTCGTCGTTGTCGTCGTTGTCGCCGTCGTCGTCCTTCCTCCTCCCTCGTCGTCGCCTTCGCTGGCGTCGTCGTCGTCGTCGTCGTCTTCGTCGTCGTCGGCGTCGGCGTCGTTGTCGTCGTCGAAGTCGTCGGATACGTCGGTGTCGTCGTAGTCGTTGTCGTCGGTGTCGTCGTATTTGGTCTTAAGAGGTTTTGCAAACCAAGTTGCAGGTGGGTGGGTGGGATGTTTGCGCGAGCAGTGGAGACGACGACTTCAAGTTCAGCAGAGTGGACTGCACATCATAGATTGCACCACGTATAGTGCACCGCATGTATTGTCCCACAAACATTGCACACCATAGTAGTGGCCTCTGGCCAGTGCCACCAATCTGGGGCGCTCCTGATGCTCGTGGAGATGGGGGAGTGCGGGAGTATATTCGGAATCCTGAGGACTCCTGGGGAGTCTTTGGGAATCCTGCGGGCATCTTGGGGAATCGGGAGTATCCAGTGGGATCCTAGAGAATGTTTTTCGGAATTAGGAGAATCCTGGGGATCCTAGGCAATCCGTGGGAATCCTGGGGAATCCTGGGGAATCCTCATGCTGGCTCGTTGGTGGGTGGTTGAGCGTTGGGCGGGTCGTAGCGTGGATACGAAGCACCCCGCAGCAGCTGATGAGATTGCGGAGGGTGCCCTCTGGGAGGGAGGGGGTTGCTCCCCCCAGTGGACGGGGAGGGGGCGGACCAGGGGAGGGGGGGGGCTCCGCCCCTGTGGACGGGGAGCCGCGGACGCCACGCTCTCCCCCGGGGAATCAGGGACGCTGGAGGGGGGGGAGGGGGGGGGGCTCTCTCCCCCTTTGTTCCGGGGGGGTCCCTGGGACCGTCCCTCACATACCCGGGATCGGAAAAGCAATTCCAAAATGGGTCCCCTGGGGGGTGGGGGGGGGCTTGGAAACCACGGGAAACCTCCCCCCTGCCCTTCCTCGGCAGAGCCCCCCCTCCGGCCACCCGCCCAGCAGAGCTGAAGCACAAGCTTAGGCTGTTTTAAACTCACACGCTGGATCGGCGGGTATTGCTAGAAACGCACTGTTTGGGGTCCACGCTGGCTAACACATGTTTCCCAGCGTTGGCCCCAACCAGTCTGTTCTAGCAGACCAGGTGTTCCAATCTATGTGGTATAAGCTATGTGGTGCAAG